AATGTATGTGAGTATTTGAAACTATTGCTTGACGAGGGTAGTTCTGATCAGCATCAGTTTCTGTGTGTTGATCAATAAACTGTCCTGCCAGAGAAATTACCAGAGTTAAATACTGTATGAAAATCAAATATTTTTGTGGGGTCAAATTTTCCTGGTTTGAGTAAAAAATCTTTATTTGTGGGGATTTGAATTTGTGGATGAAGAATTGCTGAGTAGTTATCTATGCAACATTTTACATTTCATGGTGGAAATGAATTCGTGGGTCTCTTCATACCTCGAAAACAACAAAAATTAAACCTTCAGAAAATTTGTGATTTCACAGTATATATTTTTATAGTCCCATGTTATGAAGGGCAAAAGTTTGTTATCTCATGTATTTATTTGCTTCTTTTTGTAAGAGTTATTGCCTGCCTGGATATTTTGTCCATTGAATATTCTCACAATTTTAATTTGGGTTCCAAAAAAGGCATTTTTTATGGTAAATGTGAAATCAATTATTTGCAGCTGCTTTGAATGCTTAAATTATTACATGAATGTCATGAAGTGAGCATTTGTTTCATTGAAAATGAAATTAATTTTTCCATTTGAAATGATATTCCATGCACTGCTGTTTGTGAATAATTGACATGATTTTGGCTTTTGAAATTTGATCGAGGTACTGGTATTTTTGTTAATTTAATTTAAAGAGAACAAAATATCACAAGAAGTTTTAAAGAATAATTAGGATCATGACATATATCAGTAAAATTAATCTGTACAGTTATATATAGTATCCACTATTCCTTTGCTCTTTTTTTATCACTCCAAGATCATGTCCAGTACAATTTGTCTCTCTTGTAAATTTCATTTGTCTGCAAATTATGAAATTGAGCACGTCAGGAGCAACATATTTATAGATAAAAGACATTAACTTATATTTTGGACAGATCTTATTTCAGTAATTACAGATAATAAAAGAAATCTGGGACAGAAATTAAGCTTTTCATTCATTGTTCCCCTAATTTGAGGAAAAGTGACATTTCATTCATAGCTGATGTCCTTCGGGAAAGTTTTTTGCCCTTATTTCAAAAAATACATTGATTACAAAAAGCTTGAAAAGGGCATTTTCAACATTTGTTCAACCATCAATTATCTGATGATAAAATTATTTCATTATTTGATGGTTGAAAAGATAATTTGAGAATATTAAGGTTTTCAGTTGCTGAACTTACATCTGTGGTTTTAACTATTAAACTAATTTTAGATACTTACCGTAATACATGTATTGCAGATTCAAAGTCCAGAAAAAAATGTAACAAATATGTAATTAATGCCAGAATTTAATTTGAAATTTGTTATTTTTGATTTTTGTTTGGTATGCATGTTGGTCAAATTTCTGGTGATCTGGTGCCTTATGCCTTGTGTGTTGCATATGGTATCTTGTGGTTACTTATGGTTAGCAAGTTTAAAAGTCTTTCAGGGACATCTTTTGTGTGCAAAAAGCTGTAGCTTTTTATTACTATCTGGGGTGAAGGAACTTTTTAACATAAGTCATACATATACAATTTTGCAAAAGATTAAGAATAACATTAAAAAACGGAAAAAATGATATCAGTGAAAACAAAAAAAGTTAATTTAATTGATTTATTATTTTGATGACACATATATGATATACATATACTTACATCCCCAGTGGTGTTTTCCTTTCAATTTAAAAAAGAAATTGTGTGATATCTTATGTTCATTAAGGGGATTGGAGAGGATCAAATATTTTAATATTAAATTAAACCTACCTATTTTTAGTTTTGAGTATAAAGTGTGATCATTATAACTTGATATTATGCAGATTCAGTATGGAAATTTGTTTACTATATTATAAGCATTTTTGGACTGTTAAGTCACTCCAAGAATTACGGGGGTAATGATTTATAATTACTTTTTGGTAGAATTAAAGAAGAAAAAGAAAAAAAATATGTAAAGTCTCATGTTTTATAATATTTATCATAAAAAATGTAGATATATACATTAATCTGCTTCTTATTTTCCAAAGAACCTTATATGATATTAACGGTGAAAAATATTTAATCATACTTGACATTTATTTTGTGTGTCTTTTCTGTAATTTTGATAATGAGTATTTCGTGATGACCTTGATTAGCAAAAAACACAGGAGATATTAAGTGTGCATTTTGTTCTTGTTTCGGGAGTCTGGGGCATAGTTATCTACATAAATGTAACAACGTGATATTAATTGATTTAATTAAGTATTCAGATCAGTGTAGGGGATTGGCCGCGATTAACGAAGTCTTCAGCGGTGTGCGACATATTCATGCCTCACTGAACTCCAGTATATGGATGTCCATCTACTTTAACACACCATCCATTATTTATGTAAAAAATATTTTTCAGATGTTTTGTTTAGCAAGATCTGACCAAAACAATTACGTCAGTGTTAATTTATTGTTTACTAGGTGATAATTTTTTAGGGACATAAAAAATACCGGTATATGATACATTGATGACTATTAATTCTTGGTATTTTTTTTTTCTTTGAATTTCCACTTTAGACATTTTATATTAATTTCTTTTTAACATGTACACCTGAGAAAGCAATCAAATCAGGAGAAATTAATTGTGGATTACTAAGCTTGTCTAGTCAGGGATAAAAATTAACTGTAGATACATAATAAAGAAGGGCCAAATGGAAGTCTAGGTAATTTTTGATTAATTGAGCCAATTTAATTGCCATTTAAGAATGACAATAATAAGAGGAAAAATAATATTAAAATTAAAGGGGATATTTTACAGAATTTCTTATCTTAATTTGTTCACTATTGAATATTCTGTCAATTTTTGGCATACAGGCATACATACACAAATCTTGAACAAATACCTTCTTTATTTGCTTTGTCGACCACCCTTTAATCAACTCAGTATTTCTGTGTGAGAACCTTAATGGGGGGGGGGGGGGGGGGGGTTGCCCAAAAGAACAAGGTTCATTTAAGGCCTTTTTTGGCCCTATGATTTCTGAAAAATCAGAACTGTAAGTTTTAGTTGAAATTTGCTAAATTTCAGTTGATATTTTGGTGACTGCATAACAAATGAAAATAATGTAATTTTCTCTCTTGTTTAATGTGTGAATTACATCATATTCCTCAAATCTATAAAAATTCTTCAAAAATGGTCAAAAATGTAAGCTGCGTTTGAACATTTTGCATGTACATGTTTAGCCCCCCAACATCTGATCAAAAATGTTTTATTAAATAATAACAGAACTGTTTCAAAAGATTCTACCAGGTAATCTATGAAAAAAAATTTTGGATTGCAGGTTGGACACATATTTTAATCATTAGTTAAAGATGCTCAAATTCACTTTTTCTTTAAAGTTCAAGAACATTGCAGTTTCACAAAGCCTATTTTCAATACTTGGACTCTCAGAGAAAAATATTTTATAGGAAATGAAAGCACTAAGTCTCTACTTTATATTGATGTTCAAAATGGGACATGTACTTGTTCAGTAAATTGATATATGGACATGCAGGGCCATATTATGGGGTTAGTGAACCTACCTCTTTATTACATACCGGTATTGAAATTTATGGCATAAGTACCAAATGTTCATAGTTCTATACTTTAATTTAAAAATATTTTAATAAATTAAAAAAAGATTGAAAGCTTTCAAAAATGTGATATGCCACTCAAGTTTTTATTATCTTTTTCATTGAACTAACGGTATTTAGAATGAAAAATTATGAATTAAATTTTTAAAAAGATGAATAATTTATTACCAGACTTTCATTGGACAATTTGTTATATAAACAACAGAATGTTGTGTAACTTTGACAAAATTCTATTTTTTATCCTAGATCGGTTGAATTAGTACAGTTAATTAAAGTCTTCATTATGGTGTCATAATTTAAGAGAAAAAAATGATCCTTCACATTTAATTGATAAAGAAATTTAATGATGCAACAAATTATAAAAAAGAAAACAAAGGAACATTTTATTTTTCACATTTGTTAGTTTGGTCTCTGTGTTGGTTGACCACAGTGCCCACCATCGGACTACAGCTGACTTGTTCACAGATGGTTGCCCCACTCAAATCAGAGTCGCGATAATATTTTTTACTGGCTGTCAAAATTTTTGTCAAGGGAAAAAACAAATCCTGATTTGTAACAAATTTGCTGTCAAAATGGTGAATTTTTTTTCATTACCTATAGGCATGCTTGCTTTTCTTAAATGACTTAGTGTCTGGATTTTGATGAGAAATCTCTGGTTCCATACCTTACAGGCAATGAAGAAATGAAAAATGACCATTTCTTTATTAATTGTCAACCTTCAGAGTTGAATCTTGCTGTTTGCAGATTTTCTTCCTTTTTATCTTTAGCAGATAAATCTGAATTTAATGTAAAATTTGATGAACTTTTTATTTTCGCCCCTTTTGCCCTGCTTACAGGTGAGCGAATTTAAAAAGGGGCGAATTACAAGAGCACCATATAATTTCTCAAACAAAACTGTGACTGGGTGAATTTAAAACAGGCAGAATTGGTTCGCAAGTGCGAAAATAACCCTGTATACACTATACTGTATGAAATTTCAAAATTGTACATGAAATATTTACATTTTGTTGGAAAAAGTTGTAATGGAAGCCACTGGCTTGTTTAGTTGTCTCAATCTGTAACTGTTGCTGTGTCAGTATCTATTTGTATTCTTTAATTTCCACAGTCAGACACAAATTAAGTGGTAGGGGATTGCTTTTATTTATGCATTTCAGTTCACCTACCCAGAATTCCATTAGATCTAGAATGCTATTTATTAGAAGAAGCAAAAAAAAAAAAACGTGAAATTATTAATCAATGAACTTTCCATTCTGTTTTATGCTGTGAATTAATTTATTTAACCCAATTAAATAGCATAGCTGTTGAAAACATAAGTTTTAATTTTATATATTACCTTTAAATTGTAAGAGTTATTTCAATTTGTGTAAATGTGCTATTATTTGTGATTTTTCTGTTTTTCAGACTCAGTTGCCCCAGACAGGTATCACTGCATGCATTCAGCAGGCGTCCACACCATTGTGTTACCATGGATACAGGAATACCACAAGTATTTCACAGATGGTAAGCTGTGGAGACTTTGATGGATTAATTTCTTGAAATAATTTCTTGTTCTCTTTACGGCCACTCTGAAAAATGGAAGATTTAAACTGATGTGAGCGTGAAAACATTTTGATTGTCTTGTAGAGGTACAAAGACATTTTTCATGCAGTTTCTTGATTTTTTTTTTCAGACCAGAGTGACAGAGTTCCGGAGCATGAGGACTGTATTGTAGAACATCTAATCTGTACCAAACCCCTCCCCTCCAGGTAGTGTAGCCATACAATGATATAAATGGAACTTACATATGTTCTATGAATTAATGCCAGATTATTTTTATTTTTTTTTACCAAGAGATATCTTTTTTTAATTTTGTTTCTTCCATGGTATGTTTACATTTATCTTATTTTATCAGAAAATATATATTTCCTATAGATTTAATTCAATGCTGAACTTTTGATATTTTTTTCCTTGCTAAAAAGAGCCACAATTTAAATGGTTAAATTTTTTTTTAATTCTTGACTTAGGAAAGATTATCTGTCAAAAAATAATAGGAAGAAATCTTAATTTTTATATAATAAACCAATATAGCTATAAATATTTTTAGATATTTTTTTATTGGTCAATGTATCTGCAATTCTAATCATATTTTTTAAAACACAATTCAAATTTGAATACTAGGAATGGCACTGTGTGACACTAGCGTCTGATTTTATACGACGTCTATATTGGAGACATTGATAGATAAAGGCAAAAAAAACCAATGTTATCATCTTCACCTTCTTATTTGGGCATAAATCTTCCCTAAAATTGTACAGTGTCTAATCTACTTTAGGAAAATTTATGGCTGTTGGATGTAAATTTTGTTTATAAATAGTAGAAATGTTGAGGGGATAGATAATGAAACGCAATGCATGTTAGATATTGCGTTTCTGGATGTTAATTAATTGACTCTGTACCTATCCTGGTGTTGTTAAATCAAATCCAGGAAGATTTACGTTCAAATCTGCAGATGTAATTTTTATTTTTCTACTCTAGGACATCAGATCTGTTTGACCCTAGATTAAACTAGAAACAACTGTATACATAACAAAAGATGGTGCACAACATTTTTTACAAATTTACATAAACACGCTCATTAACATATTTTCCAAAGGTAGTGTCACATTTTATTGTAACATTAATTGTAGGTCTTTGCACTGTAGCTCTTGCATGTTGTAATTAGCTTCTGGTTGTGTCACCGAGACACACAAGATATTAAAGAAAAACTAATTCTTTGAAATGCCAAGCATAATTTTTAAAAAAGATTAATTTTGCTTTGTAAAATTTTTTTTTTCCGCAGTCCTGTTGCTCCTGTCCTGGGGCTTGGTTTAGTCAAGGGACTTTCCGTGGAGCCCTACCTCCTGACCTTGACCTCAGATTATGAACTGGTCTCCCTCCCCCTTTGGTATGTACATGTGCTGACACCAGTAAATCATGTCGAGCATTACGGATTAACATGTTCTGACAATTAACATACATTGAGAAAAATTGATATGCCAAAATGTGGTGAAATGCTGTTGAAGTTAATTTCTTATATATTATCACACATTAGCATATTATGTCAAATAAACTGGTTTTCAAAATTATTTTGATATAGCTGCATTGCAAGAGAATTTTCAGTTAATGTGTCCTGTTTTTGGAGGATTGATATTGGAAAATGCAAAACATATTTCGATTTGAATTTATATGTAAATGATGCCTTGAACTGCATGCATTAAAAAACAAATTCTGATTGAAAAATTCAGGACACATTTCATAAATTTAAGTTTTAATATTTTTTTTTACCTAACATTTTTCTGTTCTCAGTATGTTTATAGTGTGTATCTATTTATTTTGTGTAAATTTTTCACCTATTAACCTTTCTAGACAAAATATATTTGTCTAGTCTTTAAATTTGACCCAAAAGTTTCTTGAATGGTGCTGAAAACTGCCATAATTAATTCTTTGGATATCAAAGATGGCTTCCTTAGCTCCTCATTGGCTGTTGCTTTGACCTATCCAGAATGTCAAATTGGCCAAGTCATCAAATGATTCTGTTCTCTTAATCCTTATTTAATTTTGAATGGAATAGAATACTCTAGAAGTATAATTTCTGCATGGTATTAATTTATGCTACATGTATGTTTGCGGTCACAAATTTTCAGTGAAAAATTTGTCCCATTGAACTTGATTTACATGTAAGGCATATACATGTATATTGTGAGAGTCTCAGTAATTTTCTAGCCACAGAAAACAGAAAAAGAGATTCTGCAGAATTATGACCCTGTGGAAAAAAAGTATGCTTACAGTAATTTTGTAACCTACACTGGCACTGCAGCATTTTTATAGGCTTTGAAATAATGTAGTTAAAAAAGTGTTATGATCTGTAAATTTTTACTCATTTTTCTTTAAAAAAAAATGTGGATATACATGTCTATAATGTTTGAGAGACTTTTGTGATTTCTCTGTTGTAGTCCTAGCAGATACCGGGACAGCGGTGATACTCTCCACTCCTCAGAGAATCCTGAAGCCATTGAATCTCCACTGAGACGCTTGAACCGGGAACCATTTGATGTCTACATCAAGAAAATACTGCAGCGCAATGTCACCAACCCAAAGATTAAGTAAAGAGCGCACTAATTGCCTAGAAACCTCAGTCGTTTAATAGAATTTCAGATTCAATTTGATTAAATGTCACTGCATAAGAATGAAGCATGTCAGCTCTCAATCTTAATTTTTTGGTATTGGTTGCCAAATTATCATACAAGATCCTTTTCAAGGACAAAACTAAGGGAAACCTGGCTGACACATTCCTATGTTAAGTTATAGGTTCTCCTCCCACTAGTAGAAATGTCATGATATTACACGATTGTGTGTTTGGAAATAGACAGAAGCTTTGCTGTATAAATAATAGATATTTAAAAGTACACATGCAATAGCCAGTAGGCAAAAATATCATTTTAGTGCATGTTAAATATGATCACACATTCTTTGTTGTTAGTAACATGAATTTGTTTAGTTAAATGCAATAATAAATTTGTGAAATTCTTTTTTTTCAATTTTAAGAACTGCTTGGAAAGTGTTTGATTTTGTTATAGATTGATATAGAATTACATTTTTTATACAGAGCTTGAACTAAAAATTATATGATTTTATTTTTAAAAAGTTTTATTTTAATTGACATAATCCAAATTTCAGCAAATGTTTACAGAAGTTGTTGGATAAGAAGACTAAAACCATGTGTGAATTTTTATTTTAGATTTGACAAGAAAACAGAAATATCCCAGCAGGAATGTTTCCAGCTTTTGACACGTACCACTCAAGTTTTCCGTGAAGAATACCTACTGAAACAAGAGCAAGCTCAGCAGGAAATACAAAAAAGGTAATATCCAAGTCAGGGGCAGGTTCAAAACTTGAAATTTGACTGTTTTACACTGTCATGAAATCTGTGGTATCCTTCCCAGGAATATGCCACATGATGCAACAGGTAAGGTGAGAAAAGCCACCCACACTGGAAAAAAATTAATAGATCCACACCTAGAAGCTGCATTCTGGCGAAAGGTGACAAATTAATCAGTTTTCAATCCCAAATCCTAGATCCTTTATATTCTTGTGATCTGTTTAGGTGGGTAAAAATTTTGTGGTTGCTTATGACAAATTTTATCTGAAGGTTTAATGTGGGAGTTAATCTATCCTGTTTTAGTAGTTTATATGTAAAGAGTCACTGATGGGTAAACTGAGTCCGACTATTTTTATTCTCCATAAGCAATATTCAATTTGATAAGTGTACATAAAATGTTAAACTTTAGCTGCTTCAATGTTTTCCACCGGGACTATTTTGGCATCTTTGTGTTTAAATATTTCAAATATATTGAATATTATTACCAGTCAATAAATCCACAGTTACAGAATGTGAAAAAGTTATAAGTTACCCTTAGTTAGACATCAAGTGATTGAAAGTAAGACATGGTTTTATAGCATAATAATGAGTTGTGCAAGAGGCTCATTCCATGCACCATTACTTGTTGAAATGAATTTATTGAGAGAAAAAAAATGACTAAAGTGTTTTAGCATTAATTAGATCCAAACAACAGGGTAAAAAATTTTAATTTTGCTCATATGTAACATCTTGTTCAAATGAAACCTGATAATAACAGACTTATCTTCTCTCAGAAAACAATAAGTATGATAGAATAAATTTCTGTAACAGCTTATATAGCGTAAATTTATAACACATAGAAAAAAAAGTTCTTCTACAGTTTCTTTCCTTTTAATGTGTGGGTAGTATGTACATGTATTATAAATTTCTTCTAATTAAAATTTATCTTGACCCCAGACCTTGAATCAGGGAAGGATCAAATAACATACATATTTAGAAATACAATGTATGTAAAATTTCAGTTACAACATTATATTATTTTTATCTTCCAGTAATGCACGTAGCTTCATACTTTCTTCAAATTTTGTCACACTTATCAATAAAAATTCTAGATGATTTTAATCACTGTACAGGGGCACCTTATTTCCTGACAATTGAGAAAGACCTAAGGGTGTGCTTATAGGGGCAGGGGCTCTTAATAGGGATTATACAGCAATTTATTTTATTATTATTTTTTTCTATTTTGTACAGTGTATGGTTGCACCTGCATCATCTTTTTTACTTAGGTACACATCTGAGATTCTTTCACTGAAAATTTTGAGCATGGAATGAAAATTTTATCAGCCGTTCATTACTCAATGTAGGGCTTTTTGTTGTAACTTCTTTAATTCAATCTCAACAAGACCAAGATTAAATTTTAAAAATATGCATCAAAACTTATGAGGACTAACAATGCCAACTCACTTCCCCATATCCTCGTTATCTGAAATATTGGTGTTCAAGATAAGTTCAGTTATAATTTATTTCTGCAGGGTTAGAGAGAACCTGCCATTCAAGTTAATTTTAATCAAACAAATCATGTGTAAATGTAATAATTTTTTCTCTTACTGCTATTAATAAGCATTTGTAAGACTTAATGACACTTTTCTTGGAAAACTTAAGTATGAAATACTACAAAAGGAAATCTAAGGCTGTAAATGGAATCTATTTATAGTCCAATTCTTTGAATATTTTGACAGGGTTTGAAAAAGATAAAACTTAATGCATTGTCTAACATGTATCAAGAGAGACAAATGTGATGAAAACCAAGTAAGACTTGAATACAACCAGATATGTCCAATAGAGGAGTTTCATTTTGTTGTAATTATATAAACAGAGAATTAGCTTTATATGCAGTGTGTAGGTATTTATAGCAAGTCTTTTGTCAACAAAAGACAGTAGACTTCTTAAAGTAAGCTGATGTGTGGTCTTAGTGTTAATGTTCCACTTCACAGTGGCAAGTAAACAACATGTCAGTGCAGCCTGGGAACAATTAACGACAACCTTAATTAATTTGGTGCAGTTTACCTGTGAAAACAATATCTTTTTGGGAACAAAGTCTTATGACCTTGCACTATGTGGTCGTTTTTTTAATTTATTTATTGATTTCGACAAAAGGTGTATTCATAATGAAAATTAATTTTTCATAATAAATGCATGAAATGAAGTACAGAGGAGACAAGTTCGTAAATATTTTGATTTTTGCCCGTGGGGGCCTCTGCAAACTATGTTTGACCCTGTTGAATTGACCGTTCAGCATCCAAATGGTAATCAATTGCAATAAGTAATGAATGCGCGCGGTTGACAGGTAACATTACCGTGATTTCGAGCTGTCATAAAAATAAGACGAAAACCACATTTTGACAGGTAGAACAGGTGAATTACGAGATAGCTTCCACAGATTTATATTTCCAACCTAGTACAGTATTTTTTTTTATTGGAAAGTAATGTTTAACTGACTTTTTGGGGGTCTGTCTTTCAGTCATTAAACTTTGCTTCACTGCAGCCAGCTTTGATAGGTTCAATTAAGTTTAAAAGATATAAATATTAATGTGATGTACTTTAAATATAGATTAATATATAGTCTTATAATTTAAAAAAAAAGTTTTTTTTTATTTCTTCTATTTTGAACAGTGCATGGATGCTACCTGCGTAATCTTTGTTACTTAGGTACAAGCTGATGGCACTGAATATGTTCTGCTTTAAATAAATTGTAAACTACATGAATACATTATTTACTGGTATATAATCATAAAACATGTTCAAAATCTGATCAACCATATAAAAATTTAAATACCTGTATATTTAAATTGAAAATGATTATTTTCAGGTTCAATTAGTTATGATTTTTGAGGGTTTGAATAAGTGGAACATATTATGAGAACTAGGTGAAGATAGATTGGCACCTATCATTCCAGGATAATATATTCCTTTTTTTTAAGGGCACCTCACTTACACTAAATTATTTCCGTACCCGTAGCATCAGTGTCCTTGTTTAAGTATTAGGAGCAGGTTCCATTTTTAAAGTAACTAGAAGTCCTCTCTAGACCATACTTGCATGGCTCATGCATCATGGGATGTATACTACTGAACTTGCTTTGAATGCCGGATCTTCTTTGCTGCTTGATGATAGAGTTTTTAATCTGCAGTTCTTGATTTATGGGTTAAGAATACATTTACCTAGTATGTACTCTGATACATTGTATGTATAGTATATACCTGGAACCTAACTGTGCTTTTTAACCTTTATTGTTTCAGACCATTACCACTAGTTCTAAGCATTCAAGTATATCAAGTCTGCAAGATGATTCATGGTTTATTCCATCTTTGATTTATTTTTCTAGAGTAAGGATCCTGAGAAGTCTGAGGTCCCAACAAGAAGAGGACATTGCAAATTTACAGGAGTCTCGGAACAAAGTCAGAGACATGGCGGAAAACCTGGCCACAAAGTACAGTGATTGTCAGGATAAGCAGGAGGAAATCCTACAAAGGTAAGCAGTTTCTGATTAGACTGTAGCTCTACCAAAATAGGTCATTCAAAGGAAAGTGGTCTCTGATAGGACTGCAGCTCTACTAGGGGTCAGAATCCAAAATTTAGCAGATCTGATTAGGTTTTCCAGAGGAGAACATCCAAAGTTAAACAGGCTCAGAATAGACTATAGCTCTACAAGGGGGTAAGCAGTCTCTGGTTAGACTGTAGCTCTACCACAAGAAATCAATCAAAGGTAAGCAGTCTCTGATTAGAATGTAGCTCTTTCACAGAAGGTTATCCCAAGGTAGGCAGTCTCTGATAAGACTCGAGTTCTACCACAGAAGGTTAGGACCTATCCCAAGGTAAGTAGTCTTTGATTAGATGATAGCTATAGAAGAAAAGATCAATTTCTCAAAGTCCCAAAAAATTGAAATGGATTGGTTTAATCTCTGACAGGATTGAAGATGTGATGAGACGATTACAGGAGAGGATGCCATCAATGTCTGAGGCAGAGAGAGGGATGAAGAGAGAGCTAGAGACAATGGAGGAACAACTGGAGGTGTACAAGAGATCTCTAGAGCAGGTACAATACAATTCTAAGAGAAAGGGGGTGTGGTGTTGAAAGGATTTCTTTGAGAAGGTACTCAATTGATTTTAAGCATTTTTTTTAGAATAACATTGGAAAATGTTAAATGGGATATATTTTTTGGTAGCTGAAAATAAAACAGGACTACCAGAGAAGACAGATAGCCCAGACACCCAACAGACTCCTCTCCAGTCCCATACTGAAGCCTGGTCAACTCAAACAGATAAAGGACGTGTTGAAGCAAGAGTAAGTCACAGTGTATAAAGAGACCTGATAAGAATAGCAACAAAACTTATTTTAAGGAAAGTGGGTGGTGGTGGGTAGGGCTGGGTATTGGCCAGAAATTTCGTATTGCGATATATTGCGATATTTTTAACTGCATTGTGATAAGTATTGCAATATTTTCAATGAAAATTACACTGGCATTTTCTTATTATATTAACTCTAATTTACATTCAGAATGTACATAACTTTGAAAAGTAACCAAAAGGGAAAAAAAATCTTCTTGTTTTTTTTAAGTTATGTTCTGAATTACATCAATAAAACAGCTTTTGTCTTACCGTTTGGCTTTAATAACAAGCCTTTCTTACATTTACTTTTATATTTGATGACAAAATTCTTTAGTCTAAGCATATTCCGATATATCAATATTACAAAAATGTATTGCAATACAATATTTTCTTTCAATGTATTGCAATATATCAAAATATTGATATTTTTGCCCAGCCCTAGTGGTGGGTGGATGTGTGTGTGAAAGGGGGGGGGGGTGATTGGGAAAGTGATGAAGGCCACTAGAAGTCACAATATTTAATGGGCCATTTTAAAATGAATTGGCCATCTATATATTCTGACCAAGGGCCATTTAACAAAAATAAAATTATATATGAAATATGGAAGAAAAAACATTACAAGCTGCAAGTGAGGTATTTTACTTTTGTTGTTCTACAGTGGCTGGAACGTTATTGTTGACAACTTACACGAACGATCACGTTACACGAACGATTCCGCACGATTAACGCACGATTAAACCTGTTACACGAACGATCTTTCACGTTCACGATTCTACACGTTACACGATCTTACACGATTGTGATATGTATCAAAATGGTTCAATATTTTCAATATTTTCAAAACGAAAATTAAAACTTATAAAAGATTTTTATCAATATTATTTTATTGACTTTGAAAAAAAAAAACGTTGATATTTCTGCTAAATATATGCCAGACTAATATTTTAGATTAAAAATAATTATTTCTAAGGTAAGGGAAAAAAATTTTGTTGATTTTTTATGTGGGTTGTATAATTTGATGTATCATGATATGAATTACTTCAATAAAACAGCTTTTAAATTATAATTACAAATTTTATATTTGTTTCCATTGATTCAATGTCTTATAAACTTGCCAATTATTCAACTTTTTTATTCCAATTTATAATTAATTACAAATATCAATATTAACACAAAATGTATTGCATTTGTCGACAATATTTTCTTTGAGAAATGTTTATTTCTTTGTAATATATTTTCAATGAATTGATTTCAAGATTATCTTGACCACAATAAGAAGTAAATAATAATTAAAATGTGTGTGTGAAAGGCGTTAGAGATCTAAGTACGGTTTATCACAATATTGATCGCGCTATTTGACGTAATGAATATTGCAACACTATATTGCTTGTTTACAATATTTAATGGGCCATTTTAAAATGAATTGGCCATCAATATATTCTGACCAAGAGCCATTTATAAAAAAATAAAATTTATATATGGACTATGGAAGAAAAAAACATTACAAGCCGCAAGTGAGGTATTTTACTTTTGTTGTCCTATTACCTAATGAAGTGCTTCATAATACAAGAAGCCAGTTTTGAGGGGTTTGAAGCACTGAGATTTGTTGTATCAAAATGACTGCATTTAAAACAAAAAAGTTATACCAAAATATTTCCAACAAACATTGTTAAATATTGAATACACACTATGGCCTTTACAATGGTCTATTTACTGCATCATTTTTCAATTCAATAAAACAAAAGCCTTTCCTCATCATTGTCTGAAAATGTTTCAGCATGTCCATGTCTTATAAAATGATTTGGTCAGAATAATTGTGTAATCTTAAACATTTATTTTCTTAAAATACATTTTCAGAAATACATTTACCTTTATGCTTTTTAATATCGACTGTTATATGTGTTTTCTATAATTGTTTGACTTTTATATTTTTCAGGGGAGATGACTTGGGTGAAATGCTGCAAAAAGTCAATGCTTTAAAACTTGAAGCAGGAGTCTGATAGAAACTGTAACTGAAAGCTTTGGCAGCAACAAACTCAGTGGATAGCCAGGGAATATTTCTGTTAAGTGTTGCTGAGTGGTGAAAATATTGACTAGTTTGTTTAAAGTTATTCCCCATGCATTGTAAAATATGACAGGGCCAAGAAACTGAAGTCTTGACAAACAGCAGTGTTGTAATTTAGGTGAAAGTGACCTATGTAATTGTTACTTGTGTTAATAATAAAAATAAAGACTGAAAGAAGTAGAACTTTTGTCTTTCAACAAAAAAATCTATCAAATTTTCTGTTTTTCTCAATTGAAAAACAATATTTCAAGTTTGTATTGAAAAGCATTTTGATGTATTAAGATGTGTATTCAGTTGGGTAATTTCTTTTATTTACAGTGCACAGTTATAAGAGTGTGTGATCAGAAATAAAATCCTATTATGGTTAATCTACCCAGTTTATATTGGCCTGATATTGTAAATATAGTAGGTAATTGCTCAAATATTTTTTGTCTATAATTGCACTTATCTAGTTCAGATTAACACTCAGCAACACTTGTATGTAATGTAGCACACATTCCATCATTTTAAGCAGAAGTGTTGAAGGTAATTAAAATGCTTAGTGTGCCGGGACAGTTATTTGTTTATCTGTGAGATAAGGAACATCTGATGACCAGTCGCAATGTTAAGGTCACACAGGTACACTTGTACTTGAGGCAATCTATTCCTTATTCAATTTATGGTCAGTGTGTATATGACTAGATTTAAACTTTTAACTGTTCTGTTAGGACCTGCAACACTTGGCCAAGTATTGCATGTGTAAGGGTGGGGCATCAGATCTCCTAGATGGGACGGGTCTGGAAGATTTGCAGAATACAAGGCCCAGTGTCCTGGTTTTGAATAAATATCCCACACAATATCACCATCGGAGATCTGCATTCAGAGGTGTTTTGGTGACAATTAGTGCCAAGTCTGATGTCCCATAATTAGTGCAAGTCTGCAATCTAATTTGGGGTCAGTTACTTTCATCCACCAGAGAACACACTGTCTCACCATTTTAACCAGGGGTCTTAACTGGGATGACTAAATATTTTGTTCAAAGCTTCATGGTACCATTGGTACTACAGACCTATATTCAGATTAGGGCGCACATGGCTCATGCCTTCTCAAAACTATTTCACATATATATATTTTCAGTTATACTTCAATGAAATAACAGTAAGATTACTGTCAAAATAAGGTTCTTTACCAGTAATTGCTGGTGTTCAGAAGCTTACTGTGGGCTTTGACCCCATCTAGCATTGTCCTTGACCTACTGAAGACTGGCAGAACCCAGACCCCTTGCCATCTATAAGAACCCCCTTTCACCCAAAATCCTACATACTATGGATTTCCAATACACAGATAAACAAAAAAGTACACATAAAATATGTTATTTAATTCTCTAGATTAGTCAGGCCTATAGAGTCTTTATTCTGTTGTTGGAAAGTTAAGTAGGAATTCAAAGCTTCTTGGATTTCTTCTTCTGAGAGGATTTTATAGTGTTGAATTCCAATCAATAACTCCTGACGAGCATTCCCTGCGAAGTTATTGGAGAGAAAGGCTGGGAGCCCTCTGTATCCATCACCCATAGTGTACAGTGGAGGTCTCAATATACCCAGTGTCTAAAAAATAACACAGCTGAAATTAGAGTGAATTGGAAAGAATCAATCTAGTATCTACATATTCTTTGGATGACACCAGCACACCCTCCCTGATCCCAAAGTAAATACAAATGACTTCTATTTTTTTCCCCACAAAACATGCATTTACATTGTTAGTATTTCATATATATGTAAAGTTTGAGATGAAAATTAGACCAACAAAATTATATACAAGTTTGTATCTACTTGTCAAAACCTTGAAGTTGTGCTTCTTTTGCATATCGGTATATACTGAAAATATTTCCTTACTTCTGCTCCATAATCAGGGGCCTTTAGATTCTCTAATTCAATTTCCTGAAATTGTGGCAAGGTGACCTCCTTCCCATAAAAATGTAGCACAAGATTTTTGCCCTTGTTCACAAAGGAAATAACATGGTCACTATCTGTCAGTTTAAACTTCTCAGTGTCCAGACCAATTTCTTCTTCTAGTTCACGGTTTGCTGCCTGGAGTGGGTGTTCACCTGGATCAACTAGACCACCTGGAAATCCTAGCAAGCCATCAAACCTCATCTGCATCTGAAAGATATGATTAATGAGTTATTAAAATCTCTACTAGCTTATATTTGTAATTGTTTGTGTATCAGTTATGCTAGAGGATGCATGGGAAAATTTTAAGTGCAACTAAGAAGTAAAAATATATTGTCCCATCAGTGCTTATAAACCTTTGAATGCCCTGTCAATCCACATGATATCTTTTAATGGATGTTTTTTGGATCTTAAGTAAGGCACAAATACCAACCCCCCCCCCCCCCCCCCCCCCCCTTCTTAGCTCTTTGGGCATGATGGAATTATGTGTTACAAGCATACCAACACTGCAGCCCTAGGGCAGTATAAATCCCATAGAAGCACGTCGTTCCTGGCAAAAAGCATGGAGTGTGACGCATGTCGAAAAGAAGAATATTTGTCAGACAACGCAGCCTCGTACGTTACAATGTCGAAATCCTCTTTCTTGTCCCCAGCTCGGCCATATGCTTCGTAGGCCTGCAACTTTCCCCATCCGATATCAGTCATTTGGAACTTTGATCTGGCTACGGAATAAAATGATTGACAGCTCAAAATATCCCCTTCTGTAAGAAGAACTTGTTTAAATTAACTATGTTAAACTCAAATTTAATTAATGGATTTACGCTTACAATTGCCAGAGATGAAAAATGTTATGATTTCAGATTTATTCGTTGCTAGTTTTAATCGGAAGCACTATAGCGTAACATAATACTGGAACCCTTTACATATCGCCGGGTATATTCCGGAAATACAGTGCCCGACCACAGGACACACCACCTTTTCACAGACCAGTGTAGACTCCCGTGTATTTTAGACCTTTTCTCATGAATTGTTTTTCAATGACATATTTGTGATATAATTTATGCCATAAATTCGAAAAATTACCTAAAACAAACATCTTTAGTCTTTAAAATCTTAGTTGGTTCGATATGTTTGAGGTAATTTTTTCGGCAATTTTTTATGATTGGACAATATCACAAAAATGATACTAGAATACAATTTATGCAAAAATGTCAAACAGGCCTGGGATTTTTTAATACAAGACTTGTTCACGCTCCATAATTCTGAGAGTCGAAAGACTTTCCGGCCAAAAAAAAAAAGATCTGATTTTGATCAGATTGGCTCACAGCAAAAAAGTGACGTTGCGTTAGTATATGTAGGCCCTTGGTGAAAATGGGTTGATTATTGATATCATTCCTTTATTAACTGAAACAAAAAACAGACTCAGTGCTAACAGTTTCCTCTTTTACAAGAACAACAAAGCCCCGTTTTTTTGTTGTTGTTTTTTTTTTCAAAATACACGTTATAAAAATTCCGTTTCATTAAATAAATGCCTTACATAAGCAGAGCAAACAATTTTTAAACTAACATTATTTTCATAACTATCTCACCCTTTCAACATGAAACCATGGATCCGCTCGCCGCAGACACCGCAGAATTTAGAAGATAATCTAAAGTTCTCAGTAAGCAGGTCACCAGGAATAGGAGAGTTATCATCTTTAACATGGACCAAGTTCAAAAGTGCGGGAATTTGCGGACATTACTGATCTTGTTTTGTACTTTTATGCCAGGTAAGCTATATATCTCGTACATTGATTATTAAAATTTGGGAAAAAAATGCCACTATCGATGCGTATAATGTGCATCAAGAGAAATTAAACAAAAAATATAAATTGTATCTAAGGCAAAAAATCTATACAATGTATATAAAAAAAATACATATTCATGTGTAAAATTTGTATTCATGTGTATTTTGGTATACATTTTATGATATAAAATTTCGTTTCATACCAGGGTATATTTTGCTATGATTATTTGTCAATTAAGTATAACAAACAATGACTTGCTTTACTCAGCAACACGTGTATTTGATGTATAGAGCTTGTTCTTGTCAACATCCTTAAGATAAGGAGAATACTCCACTGTAGCCAGTTGATATTCCAATGGAGTTATGTTTGTCAATGAGACAGAATACCCCCTGGTACATAAATGACCGATCACTGTTCTGGAGTCACTTGGTACATTTTTGTTACTGTCTGTATTCAGAAAAAAAATGTTTCCTCTAAGTTCGGTATCTTTGACTCTCTCTTATTCCAAAGGTCACTGTCATTCTAACATTAGGGTTTATGATGGTCTCTCATTTCAAGGGTAGCCTATACTTATGACGACACCTCCATTCATTATTCAGTGTCTGTTACTAGATGTTGAGGTTCTCACTGACTCGCGAGGTGGGGGAGATACATGTATCGGTGTTGTAGAGTATCTCGGATCATTACATAATTATGTAGGGCAGGTCCAGAAGATTCAAGGGAATGGTGTCCTAAAGAACCCAGCAACATTTGGTTCACTTTAGATGGCGGAGTTGGCTGTTGATCAAGCAAACGCACCAGTCACCCCCTGGGAGAGATCTTGAAGTTATTTCGAATTCGGGGGATAGATCGAGTTGGCCACCCTCCTGATCTTAAATGGCTACATCTTCGCTTCTGCTACCATCAGACGACTGCAAAGCCTCTTCTGCTACCAGCAGTCGTCTGCAAATCCTCTATTGCTACTATCTGTCGTATGCGAATTAACTGCTACTACAAGTCGTCTGCGCATCTGAACACTATCTTAATATTCTGTGGTCGTCCAAAGATAGATTGTAGTCTGGTGACAACAGTGTGATGTCCGTATGCAATGACACTTTGGCTATAGATCCTGTCAGCGACATCCAGACAGACTGACAGTGTTATTTCAATGTTTTATTAACCATTCAATTGTGTCCACATAAATTATTTGAGAAAAAGAAAGAATCTTTAATGCAGTAATACATATTTACATTCTACACATATTGTATAGATAGGAATTAATACTTTCTTTACCCCATTCCCCAACACGATTTCTTGATCAAAAAGCATACACTTTATTTACCAAAACCACGCATCACCTTCGTTTTTTCCCTTTATAAGTTTCATGCGGTCTATGGAGCCAGTCCAATTGTCCACCGGGAAGAGAAACCATTGTCCATCTCTTTGAATGGAAATGGAAGGACGTGGCTACAGAATGTGAACGAATTCTGGCTCCAGCGGGCTTCTGTGGGGTACAGGTAAAGAATTTACAATTTCATTATACATGTATATACATATATAGATCATTTCTTTCAATTTCTAAGTTCTTTTTAAAGTCCCAAATAAATAATGACAAAAAATGTGCATGTAAATAATGGGATCCTCTTTCCTTGAGTATGAAATTATTAAAGCAAGGACGTCACTTATTCAGTATTCCAACGATAAGAACATCTTACCTTAACTAACAGATGTAGTTATCTATAGGTATATTTGAAAATATTTTAGATATCTCCTCCCCATGAGAATAGAATCATCAAACTTCCTTCCCGCCCATGGTTTGAGCGTTACCAGCCCGTATCCTACAAACTGGTGACAAGGAGCGGCAACGAACAGGAGTTCAGAGATATGGTAGAGCGGTGCAATAAAGCTGGCATCAGGTCAGATTATAGTCATTTAAAATTATTCATGAATTATGGCATGCAGAATTGTGAATGACAGGTTTAAAAATAAGAGGCGAGGGACCGCCCAAAAGAAATCTAACAAATAAAATTAAAACAAAAACAAGAATCAAACAAAACAAACAAAAACACGAACAAACAAACTAAAATCACCGAAAAAACTTTTTGATTTCTGTTATCATCATCGTCTTTTGACCAGATTTATTGTTTTTTATTCTACAAACGTCCATCACGGCATGGGCAAGATTTTCAGGGAATGCCAAAATTTAAAGTTTTTGAAAGAATACTCCTCAGTTTCAAATTATAGGGAGACCTCGGTTTTAAAGCTTCTGTCCCCTGTTTCCAAGCTTAAGATTTTGATAAACCAAACGTGGCTAAAATTTGTTAAGCTCTTTTTTTTATTTTTATATATTTACATATCCAGTGTCTTTGTCCGAGATAAAATTACAAATTGTAAATGTACTCTATTTCCCCATCAATGTATTGGCGCGGTTCCAAAAAAAAAAAAACACGTGCAGGGTGGGACAAACAGCTAGACAGAAGCAGGGCTTGGAGCACGTGGATTGGCGGAATCAAAACATGTAAATATGAGGAATAACTGTCAGATTTTTCGATTTCATGACGATGATCAATCGATTGGCTTGCGTGATAATTTAATGCATAAACGCCTTCGGCGTTTATGCAAATTATCACGCAAGCCAATCGATTGATCAAATCATGAAATCGAAAAATAAGACAGTCATTCCTTAAGAAAGTATTTGAATTAAGACAGACAAAATGATAAACAAAACAAAAGATCAATTATTTATCTAAATAAAAAATGAGATTTTACTCTAAAAATGATTAATATGAAATGTAGTATATCGATTTCAGGATATACGCAGACGTGACCCTGAATCACATGGCGAAGGCGGGTTCCAGTGGACTCGGTACAGCCGGATCTTATTATAGCGACCCCCTGTATCCCGAAGTTCAGTTCTCCGAATCAGACTTTAACAGCGCACAAAACTGTTCATCCAAGGATCTTACAGTACACAACTATACAAACAAAGCAGAAGTTCGAAATTGCAGACTACAAGCACTGAACGATTTGAAAGTATTCTCTAAGCACGTTCAAGAAACTCATGTAAAGTTTTTAAATAAGCTTATAGACATTGGAGTGGCAGGTTTTAGAATCGATGCTGCTAAGCACATGTGGCCCTCTGAACTTGAGCGATTGTACGTAAAACTACATCATCTAAATATAAAATATTTTCCTTTTGACACGCGCCCTTTTATTCTTCACGAGGATTTGGTAATAGACACCGTAGGATTATCTAGTGATATTCCAGAATATTCTAGACTAGCCAAGGTCACTAACTACGACTATGGATACTTCCTTGCAAGGGTATTTCTGTTAGTATTAAATCTAACCTGCATTTTCTCGGATTCATGCATGTTTTCTTAAAAATCAAATCGTTTGGACTAGTAGAAAACACCCTCGGAATATTAGTTCGACTTCCGAATCAGATTAAAGCAATATGAGCTGCATTTTTGAAAATTCTATTTTTCTGTTAAAATGTGCTATCATGATAAATTTGTATGTAAATTAAACCTTTATGATCAATTAGATTGAAATAAGGCAGAAGAAAGACTTCTATATACAATCCAATATACAGTTTTATATAAGAAATCGTCTTTGTACAGGACGACAATAATTTAATTTTGATCCAATCGAAGCTTATAAATACATGTAGTTCTTCGATTGCAAATATAAACGACTGAAGTTTATTTTTTCTGTCATTGAAAAAGTAATTAACAATTTTTCAAAATCAAAGTTGCAGCTCATATTGCTTTAACAAATACTTATACAAACGAAAGGCACATTTCATTTAATTTTGACCCATAAGTTTTAATAAATAAACCAAACATCACAACTGCTTTTCATTTCAGAAGTCACAAAGAAAATCTAAGAGTGCTAACAGATTTAGAGTTAAGACCCGGATGGCCAGTATCTGACGATGCCTTGGTTTTCATTGATGACAGTGCGAGTCAGCGTGGCTACGGAAAAGGTCTATATCTTCACATTCATGTATTTACAAAGAATTTTCTCTTAAAGAAAGATTTTCTTATTGTCTAGTTGGTAGAGGCAATGCCTTAATGTCCCATTTCTTCACCTGTCTTCACTAATCTGTACTTACAGCGAAACTTGTCTCATCTGTATGTTGTTTTATCCGAAAGTCTTGTCTAAAACGGTGTAAACTTTAAGTCACCTGCAGTAAATTCAACAGTTTTAATTGTTGCTTAATCTGGGTTTATGCTGTATATGCCGACCAATTTCTATTGAACAAGTGGTGTCTTGATAAGACAAGTTTTACTCTCTCAATAGTTTGAGCAATGAGCATCTTTATACCTTAGTATGATCGGTAATTCTACAGATTAACAACTTCTTTTACAGAGAAAGTATTATCCAATTTTGACAATGCCCGTTTGTATAAGATGGCAAATGTTTTCATGCTTGCGCATCCGTATGGGATGGCAAGAGTAATGAGTAGTTACTATTGGCCAAAGACAGTGGTGGACGGAAGGGACGTTTACTCCTGGATGGGTCCACCAGCTGATTCAAACATGACCACCTTGGGCGCCTTCTACGAGAACAGCATAGATTGTCAAAATGGATGGGCAAGTAGAAAGTCTTAATCAAATAAACGTTTTAAATAGTATCATTACAGGTTTATGGCTTTAACAGACTTAGCCAATTTCTCTTTTACAGACATTCCCGTTACTAGTATAAGTACAGGTAGTTAGCACCATAAAGTGTTGTATGGTTAGAAGAATTAACTTACATGTAGTTATTGTTTTCTAGATTTGCGAACATCGTTGGAGACCAATAATGAACATGGTAGGTTTCCGAAATACCGTAGGTCGTGCCAGAATGGCGAACTGGTGGAGTAACAATCAAAGACAGTTTGCTTTTGCCAGACAAGGCAGAGGATTCGTCGCCGTAAACGCGGGAAATTCCGAGCTATCCGAAAGGCTGCTCACTGGTTTACCAAGTGGGACATATTGTGACATCATATCCGGTGGCGTTGTGAATGATAAATGTACTGGAAAGATGGTAAAAGTAAATAACCTTGGACAAGCAAGTTTCATCATACATTCTCGAGAACAGGAACCAATGATTGCGTTACATATTGGTAAGAATCAATTACAATAATTAAGTTTTTTGGTTTAAAAATAAAGTTTAAAGTCACATATGGCGTATTTTTTTTATAAGTTCAAAACTAAATAAAATTAAAGAGATCTTTCTATTTGTTTTGTTACTTTAAATAAAGATATGACTTTCCTGTAAATTACACAATTTAAATCAATTGCGTTTAGTATAAAATATATTTATTCATCTAAATGGATTGAATAGCAGGCATAACTGCCTATGATCGTTCTCTCCAGATTAGAATCAATCGCATTTCATAGATAACCAAGATTTAAAACAATAGCCGATTTATTTCCAACTCGGCATTTAAATATCAGACACATGTAGTTTAAAGTCAATTTAACTATAAAAACGTGGGGATGAAGTTCAAAATCGATGAAAAATTGAATTTGAACGTGGATAGCAAATACATGTATCATCTTAATCTACACTTAATCTCGTAAATTTTTTTTATGGATCAGGTACGCTATATGTAGTCTTTATTACTATTAGGTCTAATCAATCTGTTTAGAGATACTGTTCGAAGAAAATATATCCTTGCGATATGATTAGATCAACACTTCAAAGTTTCGGACTCGGAATAATATTTTTAGCACACCTCAACGAAGTTCGGGGAGCTTATGTGATACTCTCGGTGTCGGCGTCAAGGTTAAGGTTTTTGGTGTAGCTTTCTTTTTAAGTACTTCTATGCCCTATATTGATCAGACATGCATGGAAGATGCTTCGAGTGTGTTTCCTTGTACGAGTTAAGGTTTCAGATGCTGCAATTTCAGCAAAGGAATGACCATGTTGCAGGTTAGTGTCTTTGGAGCAGGTGAATTTGGTGCAGTTTTTGGTATAGGTCTCAAGTGAATAAAGGCTCTGTGTTGACGAAACTTGCATGGATGATAATCTAAGGATGTAAACAATCTGGCTCGCTTCGGATGCTGAATCTGACCTACATTTTCTAGATGAGTAAACGGGTTAATGTTTTTGGTGCAGGTCTCATTTCCAAGTAACTATGAGCCCTATAGTGACCAAATTTGCATGGATGATACGTCTAAGGGTTAGATGTTGGTTAATTGTGTGACTTTGCCTTACTTAAAGACAACATTCATTGAGGTGAGCTCTGTAATCTCTGATTACCTATGTATTTTGCTTTATAGATGCAAGGTTAGGAAGCCCAAGAGAACAAACCTCAAGCGAGACTGGTTCATTCTCGGGAATCCTCGGGAAGAGACGTTAATTTCATCGGCGCACTGATGTGTTAAATGGAACTGAATACTCCTCCTGGTGTTTGCTGTATTTATTTTTAAATGTTTACATATATCATTGAAACAAACACATCCTACAGGGTGTAAGGACGAATAGTAATTGAAGGTGGGACAATATTTGTCTTACCTCAATTGTAGAATACTACGTTTCTTTTGTGGATAATTGTGTTGTTCATAAAATAAAAATCCTAAAAATACCCATTACTATTCCTTGTTTCAAACAAAACCGCTTGGCAACTTTGTTTCTGTACACGCTGCCGGTTACTTTTGAGGTAATATCCAAATAAAAGATCACATTCTTTGTTTTGGAAAACATACAAGAAAAAGAAATCGACATACCTCCGAAGCGAATGCAGAAAAGTCCCTCCAACGCATGTCCGGAAGTCCCGTTAACTAAATAAGCTTTTCGTGTCATTTGAGTATGAAGAAGAGCGACTGGTGGCCGTGCTTTTGAATGGCTTGAGAAATTCCAATGCTATGGAATAAAATCAAGAAGGTAACTCGAATACAAACCTGGAGAGGATGACTTCATGAGCTGTGACAGGCAACGATTCTAGAGGAATAAAGGCAATCTTGAATACAAAGCCTTAGTCCACCAGTTTAGAGGTTGAATAAGGGGGTATCTCCCTTTCTGGGGGGAACGAATATAAGGACTTGGAATATTTTACCCTTTCTCGAGACAAAAGAATACTAGCAGCAACCTGCGCACATGAATGCAACCAGTAAAAGCCAACTGAAACTGGTTGCATGAAGAGTATACAGAGCAAGAAAACCAAAGTTAGGATTGGCTTCCGGAATGTTCGTACCATATTAGAGAAAGAAGAACAGGCTATAGACACTATATTAGGAATAAATGACTGCAGATATGCAGAACATGACTAATTTAGTGATGAGACAATCATATACTCAAGCAGAAAAGATGGTAAATAAATGCAATTTTGAGTCAACCAGCAGCAAAGTCAACAGAAACAAAGAAGTAATAAAAAAGGTCACAAAAACAACAGCTAGAACTTTCTTGAAAATATGACAGAAGACGCTGAGAAAACAGCAACAGGACACCAGGTGGGTTATATTTTTCAGATTATAATAAGAAAAGTCAGGTATTACCAGAAACTAATCGGACAAGAAAGAAAAGCACGTATACCAGGAAGAGACATGGGAATCATGGAATCGCCCAGATCCAAACACGAGAGCAGAAATACCCGAAGGAAACGCAGACTTAGAAATCAATACATACGAACCAACATTGACTTTCCACAAATTCTATTTAAAAATAAACTTTGTTAAAGTAGTCATAACAACAAAGTTTATTTTTCAATAAAATATTTGGAAAGACACTATATATTTTGGGCCAATTTTTGTAGCAAATGATGCTAATAATAAATTTCTAAAATATTAAGAAATTCTAAACCTTCTATGATGGTCAAAATCCTACCTCTCTGCGGTTTAAATTGAGAACAACTGACAATGTGTAGAAGATTTCAATATTGCAGCATCTAAAGTCAACAGACATTAAGAGTCGCTTTGAGTCTGCATTTTATAGTTTTGGTTCCCGTAATGAACGCCTGCATACAGTTTGAATATATTTTAATGCATTTTCCTGATTGTCACAAAAGTGTTTACAAAAATTTCAAATAAAAGAACCAAATGAAAATGAAATGTATGCAACGCAGATTCTTTGTTTCATAATTCTATAATTTGGCCGATGCATGTGTTTATGAAAAAGAACATTACAAACAAGCTATAAGTATTTCGACAAATTTATCTTCTGGGGGAAAAATATCAACTTGAAGTTAACTCGATCTTTCGTGCTAATGGAAATAGCACACAAGGTCGACAAATATTTTTTCCATATCTAGGACGTCCCTCCTTTTCACTGTAAACGTAAATAACATTTGGTCACTGTTTACTTGAAATCTTCATTCCCTACATTTTTTTTAAAAATTCTGTCTAATGGCTTCTTTTGAAGTTTCACGACATGGAACATTATTCTGTCGATCTTGTTTTTTTTTTTTTTTTTTTATTATTATTATTTTCTTTTTTCTTTTTTTTTTGTTTGGTATTTTTGATATCATTATAATAAAATAGTTCCAACTTCCTTATATGTTTTAAACAAAATAAAAAATTAACATATATTTTTTTGGAAATTCTTATTTCAAGAACAACAATGCTTACTCAAGCATTGTTGTTAATAATAGTTATTCTTTGTGAATATGTGTCATTAGAATCTCTCTGCTAAAGATTGTCAAATTTACGAGCATAACAAATTATTTGTTATAGATAGACAAAATTGAAATGAATTCATTTTCAAGACGTGCATTTAAAATCTTCAAAATCTTTTAATAAAGCAAGGCAAAGCTTCGTAAAAAGCCATACACAGTCTAGTGGAAGCACTGCTTTATGATTTAATAACATTCTCATACACATAAACAAAACAAAAAAAAAAAAGATCGGGTATGCATTCTACCTCATTTAAGAGCATTTTACGTAAATCGTAAAAAAAAAAACTTTAAAAAGCAAATTCATGCTTTCTCTCGCACTGACTTTCATCCTCCTCTTATGAAATTCAATTTTATAAAATATTTATCCAAACCTTGTATGATTGTCTTTTGTCTTCATCTGGAAGCAACAAATTGTTCTTCAAAGTCCTAAGTCAAAACTCCCTCTTCAAACACTTTTCTGTCAGGTACATGAGCAAAGTACTTAGGCCCAAAGTCTAGACTTTTATCTCGACCAAAAGGCCGAGTTCTATTTCAGCAATTTTTACGAGCTCAGAAACACTATACGACCATGGCCCTCATCAGTCTCTTCAACATTCTATATGGTAAACATGGGTTTTCTACCTCTGATCACAAGATGTTTGCAAAAAGCAAAAGCAGAAACCGAAAACTCAATTTAATTCTGCATGCAGGATTCTAAAAGCACTAATATGAAAGTAACTTATTTGAAGAAAACTCTCTAATACATTTACGAATGGAAATTGTACACCAGGTCAACAAAGTAAATATCTCTAAATATCTAGGACGTCCCTGCTTTTAATTGTAAACGTGGATGACCTTTGGTCAGTATTTCTTTGAAATCTTAACTCATTATAGATTTTTTTCAAATCTCTCTACTGGCTTTTGGGGTTTTACGTCAAAACATACGTAGAACATTATACTGTCCATCTTGTTTGTTTGTTTGTTGGGTATTTTTCATAATTTATCATTTAGTGTCCACTTCCTATTATTTTTTTAACAAAATAAAAATTATATCATTTTGGAGGAAATTCTTATTTCAAGAAACAACTCAAGTATTTAGTATTAAATCTTAGTTATACTTTGTGTGCCATTAGGATCTCTCTGTTGAAGATTTGTTAAAATCATAAGTATTAGTGTTTTGTAGAACTCAGATAAGGGTAGACCATATTATAATTCTACTCATAATGTCAAAGTCAAGACGTAATATTTTTTTTTTTTTTGGAAATCAAGGCAAAGCTTCGCCAAAAGCCTAGAGAAGGCACTGCTATATGGTCTAATAACATCCTCAAGCAAACAAACTAAAAACTATAGATAACATTCATTATTCCTTTTTTTATTTAAATCTTTTTTTTTAAAACACACACACACACACACACACACACCCTCACACACACAATCATGCTATCTCTCGCTCCGACTTTTACTGTTTTTTAAAAATTCTATTAAATAAAATATATATCCAAACCTTGTATGATTATCTGGAAGCAACAAATTGATCTTCAAAGTCCAAAGTAAAAACCATCTCTTTTTACACTTTGCTGTCAGCTAATATAAATGAGCAAAACTCGGAGTCATTATCATCAGTTTCTACACTTTGCTCTCAGTCACATTGCCTAAGCCCGACCAAAAGACCAACGCCGAGTTCTATTTCAGCAATATTTATAAGCTCAGATCTAGAAACATTACGACCTAAACCGATCATCAGTTTTTTCAGTTTTTTATCTATGGTAATCACAGGATGTTTGGGGAAAAAAAAAACAAAAACAAAACAACTAGAATAATCGATTTAATTTTTCATGCAAGAGTTTGGTAAGTTATTAAAACAAAAGAATTTCATTGTCATTGCCAAGAAACCTATTTATATTATTCCAAGTTACCGATAATTTAGAACGTTTAACCTTAAAGTTCTAAGCCTATAGACATAATCAGGTAGTCTAGGTTTCCTTGTTTTCGTCGTTCTAATTAACGGTCACTGAGATCAGATAAGGGATCTCACCCAAAAAAGTATAAATAGAGGAAACAAATTACAAAGAGTCAACATTATTCAAAACAACTAACACCATGCTTCTACAAGTTGTATTCCTCCTCGGTCTGGTGGCCTCGCCCATTCTGGGCCTCATTGGCAAATGTTCTCAACCTATGTCTGATTCCACCACCATCTACGACTTTTCCTTGCCAAACATTTTCAAGACTGGAACCATCAATTTCGCCGACCTCCGGGGCAAGGTGATTCTGGTGGTTAATGTGGCTACATACTGTGACCATACCCCACAGTTTCTGGGACTGAATGCTCTGCAGAAAGAATTCGGAAGTGATCTCCAGATTATTGCAGTACCTACCGACCAGTTTCATTATGTAAGTCTGTTTCTTATTTTCAAGTATATGTTATGGCACGCCGATTGGTTCAAAATTATTTTCTGCACAACGATCATGATTTTATACACGAGCTAGGAGAAAAATATACACGAGTAAAATAAAAATGCACGTATCGGTAAAAATTGCACATAGTTTAAAAGATTTTTACACAAACATAACGAAAAATGCACGAATCCGAAATTTTTTACACGATTAAAGGGTTTAATATGCACAAACAAAAATCGAAAATTGCACGAGCAGAGGAAACTAAAAATTACACAAACAATTTTACTGCGCATACAGCTGCGCATATCATTACTATGCACATAGAATATTCATAGTGTTCTTGGTTTTCTGTACTCTTTATCTCTTCATGTATGCTAAGCTGAATGTTATCGAGAATGGAAGTTGCTTTTTTACAATCCGATTTCGAATGAAGTGTTTCCATCTGATCTATGCGAGAGTATTTAAAAGCTTTTTGAAAATACTATGTTTTTCTTATATGACCGAGATCAAGGATGTATTATATGATGCCGGACAAAAATTGTAACAAGAATGAATCCATCGGTACGTTTGTGCTACAATGCGGGGTAAAAAAAAAAGTACCATTGCGTATGATGCACTCGACTCCGAACTAAAAGTACCTAACGATGAACGTACAGTACGGCTGACAAGGATCTTGATTTTAAAAAATCATTTGAGGAGATTTTTTCCCCATTTCGGAATAGGAAATTAAATATTCAGTTGGCTGGATATATACAAATGTGTACATTTTTAAATTTAAAAAGTGAGGATGACCTTAGATGTACACAACGTAATTTTAATGTCAAACATAAAAATATTTTATTTCTATTTACATATGTATCCAAACTTATAAAATATCCGATATCAATTTTGGTTGGATATCTGTAGCCTACTTTTTGTCATGATTTTTTCCATGATATTTTATATTTTCAGTTATAAACTTCGAAATAAAAACAAGATATTTCTTGTAAGCGTTGCCGTAATTCGTAATGGCGATTACTTGATAAATATGTTTTCATTTTTAATAAAAAAGAAAAAAGGACCAGATAAACGGAGAATATACTTATATACTCTATGTACATGCGCTTTTGTGTTTTGTTAATTAAATTTGTCCAAATGAAATAACAAAACTCTACTCAAATAATCCTAGCTATGGAAAAACACATGATCAGTGGCGGACCTGGCTCGTGGATCGACTGGAGTCCCAATATAAATTTATTTAAGTTTCAAATCGTTGAACCATAATGACACATCAAGACTTTTAAAACATTGTGAACTAGTGCTAATTGTAACGGGGACCGTTACAGATGTTCCCCAAATGCTCCCCATCTCCCTTTTTGTGCCATATTCCCTGTAAGCTTCATTAAATAAGACAAACTCTATACATTTGAGACTTTAACAACGTTTACCCAGAAGGGTACCAAGTTCATTCAAATTTTAGCATTACACGCGTGCGCATGTGAATGCATGTGCGTAATGACCATATCATCTTGTCTACACAATCTATATACTTTAATATACTAAATATTAATGTATTTAATCTAAAAGTATTAAAACATATACTCATTCAAGTGTATTTTTGATTTTACTCATTTCACGTGCACGCACGTGCATACATGACCATGGTGGCATACCTTCTTGTAGAAGTTCATTACATCTATCTATGTTCTAAATCCCACTCCGTTTGGTTGAAAACCAAGGGAGTTATAGCTGATTAAAATTTCAGCCAATCAGATTGCAGCGTACGTTCACGCACGTGTATGGATGTGCATGGTGACCATACCTTCTTGTAGAAGTCCATTATATCTATCTATGTTCCAAATCTCATCCTGTTTGGTTGAAAACTAAGGGAGTTATAGCTATTTAAAGTTTCAGCCAATCAGATTGCAGCGCACGTACACGCACGTGTATGGATGTGCATGGTGACCATACCTTCTTGTAGAAGTCTATTATATCTATCTATGTTCCAAATCCCATCCTGTTTGATTGAAAACCAAGGGAGTTATAGCTATTTAAAGTTTAAGCCAATCAGATTACAGCGCACGTGCATGCACGTGTTTTCATGAAAATTGTTATATATCGTGTTGTAGGATATCCTAATGCATGGCTATGTACAAAATTTCAAAGGATTTCATCAAAAAACAAGAAAGATATTGAGACTTTAGTTTCAGCCAATCAGAGCGAAGCGCATGTGCATGCGCGTGAGATCTTGCTATTTTGATCATGTCATATTGTCTATGCTACTACTATATCCTTATATTATGAGTCTCAAAGCATTTCATTAAAAAGGTAAAAATTTACGCCTTTATCAATTAAATCGGTCATTTCATGTGTTGCTTGTGCGCGCTCTTGCAAGCACGTGCACACAAAATTGCATGTTGACAATGTCATCTTATCTACATTTATAATATGTCTATATATTCTAAATATCAAAGCATTACATATAAAAATGTAAAAGTTACGGCAATTTCAAGCATATTGGTCATTTCACGTGTTGCACGTGCGCGCTCTTGCAAGCACGTGCGCGCAAAATGACCTTCGTTCCGCAAATCTACATAACATGCCTACTTACCCTAAAAAGGTTTCCCCTTAATCGGATGTGTACTTTACAAGATCATTCGCGGACAAAATTTTCCCGAGAAGAAAAATAATAATAACTAGTGCTAATTGTAACGGGGACCGTTACAGATGTTCCCCAAACGCTCCCCAAGTCCCTTTTGGTGCCATATTCCCTGTAATCTCTATTAGATAATAAATACTTTATGGAATTTAGACTTAATCAAGGTCTTCCCAGAAAAATACAAAATATATTTAGAAATAGGCATTGCACGCGTGTTCATGTGCGTAACGACCATATTATCTTGTCTACACTATCTCAAATTTTAATATACTTAAAATCAAAGCATTTAATCCAAAAGTATTAAAAAATACACTCAATCGAGTGTATTTATAATTTTACTCATTTCACGTGCACGCACGCGCAAGCACGTGCATAATAACTACACTTTCTTGTAGGAGTCCCTTATATTTATCTATGTTCTAAATCAAATCCTGTTTGGTTGAAAAACAAGGGAGTTATAGCCATTTGACGTTTCAGCCAATCGGATTACAGCACACATGCATGCGTGTGATTTCATAAATTTTTATCTTTATCGTATTGAAGGATATCTAAATGAATGACTATATTTTAAAATTCGAAACATTTCCTCAAAAAACAAAGGAGATATTGCCATATAAAGTTTCAGCCAATCAGATTGCAACACACGTGCATGCGCGTGATTTCATGATTTTTTCTATATCATATTTTAGGATATCCTAATGCATGACTATGTTTTAAATTTCAAAGCATTTCGTCAAAAAACAAAGCTATATAGCCATTTAAAGTTTCAGCCAATCAGATTGCAGCACGCGTGCATGCGTATGCTTTCATGAATATTTTTATATATCATGCTGTAGACCTTCATAATGTAGGACTATGTTCAAAATTTCAAAAGATTATGACAAGAAACAAGAAAGATATTGAGACTTTAGTTTCAGCCAATCAGAGCAAAGCGCACGTGCATGCGCGTGAGATCTTGCTATTTTGACCATGCCATCTTGTCTATACTACTAATGTATCCTTATATTATGAGTTTCAAAAAAATTCTTCCAAAAAAAGAAAAGTTACAGTAATATCCATTATATTGGTCATTTCTCGTGTTGCACGTGCGCGCTCTTGCAAGCACGTGCGCGCAAAATGACCTTCGTTCGGCAAATCTACATAACATGTCTACTGACCCTAAAAACATTTTACCTTAGTCGGATGTATAGTTTACAAGATCACTCGAGGACAAAATTTTCCCAGGAATAATAATAATAATAATAATAATAAGAAACAGAGTAAAAACAATATGTTCCCCAACTTCGTTTGGGGAACATAACTAGTGCTAATTGTAACGGGGACCGTTACAGATGTTCCCCAAACGCTCCCCAACTCCCTTTTGGTGCCATATTCCCTGTAAACTTCATTAAATAAGACAAACTCGATGCATTTGAGACTTTACCAACGTTTACCCAGAAGTGTACCAAGTTCATTCAAATTTTAGCATCGCACGAATGCGCATGTGAATGCATGTGCGTAATGAGCTATCATCTTGCCTATACAATCTATATATTTAAATGTACTAAATATTAAAGTATTTAATCCAAAAGTATTAAAAAATACGCTCATTCAAGTGTATTTTTTATTTTACTCATTTCACGTGCACGCATGTGCATACATGAGCATGGTAACCATATCTTCTTGTAAAAGTCCATTACATCTATCTATGTTCTAAATCCCACCCCGTTTGGTTGAAAACCAAGGGACTTATAGCTGTTTAAAGTTTCAGCCAATCAGATTGCAGCGCACGTACACGCATGTGTATGTATGTGCATGGTGACCATACCTTCTTGTAGAAGTCCATTATATCTATCTATGTTCCGAATTCCATCCTGTTTGGTTGTAAACCAAGGGAGTTATAGCTATATAAAGTTTCAGCCAATCAGATTGCAGCACACGTGCATGCGCATGCTTTCTTGAAAATTCTTATATATCAGGCTGTAGATCTTTATAATGTAGGACTATGTTCAAAATTTCAAAGGATTATGACAAGAAACAAGAAAGATATTGAGACTTTAGTTTCAGCCAATCAGAGCGAAGCGCACGTGCAAACGCGTGAGATCTTGCTATTTTGACCATGTCATCATGTCTATACTACTAATATATCCTCACATTATGAGTTTCAAAGCAATTCATCAAAAAATAAAAAAAGTTGCCGCTATATCGATTATATTGGTCATTTTACGTGTTGCACGTGCACGCTCTTGCAAGCACGTGCGGGCAAAATGACCTTCATTCCGCAAATCTACATAACATGTCTACTTACCCTAAAAATATTTTACCTACATCGGACGAACAGTTTACAAGATCATTCCCGGACAAAAAAGTACCCAGG